TCCACCCCACTCCGTTTCACCCTCTTCCCACTTCATGTACCTCAGTGTGCCCAGGCACGGGGAAACAGGAAATGGAGTTCAGCCTTGCTGGTTCAAATCCCAGCTCTGCCACTGACTTGCTGTGTGGCTTGGGGCAGGTCTGTGCCTGTCTCTGGGGCTGACCTCCCAGTCAGTGCTCACCGTGAATGGTAGAACTCTGCCATCTCCCCAGAGCTTCTTCCAGTTAATGGGGCTCATTCCGGACCTTCTTTCTCTTGCAGACTCTGGCTTCTTTGCTCCTATTTTCATTTTTGATAGATTTGAGAACCCTGCCAGGTGCAGACAGAGAGACAGAGGTAAATAAAGTGAAGGAAATAGAAGTTTATCGGGGTGCACTCCCAGCACGGAACTCTACACCTGGCACCTGGTGAGACTGAGGGCAAGCTGTGCCCTGAGAGACTAAGCAGAGTTTTAAGTTGTCCTGGGTAGGAAAGGTAACAGAGACCAGTGGGAGTGGTACACTTGGTCAACCCGGGGATATAGCCCATGGCTGCCAGTCTTGGGATGGACCGTAAGCCCTGTCTTCCATGCCTGAAGGCCCGGGGAATGTTTGGCTATTTCATCAGCTGGCTGCCATGTGGCCCTTTGAGTGGACCTTACACTCTCCCCGTGAAATTCCCATCGGGTTGGGCCTTTGCCCACATCTCCCCCCCCACCAACACCACCACTGCTAGAGTCTCTGCATAGGGCTCTTCTGCTCTTCCTGCTGCACCCAGCCTGATCCTCGCCCAAGGGTCAGAGCGCCTGCGTGATCACTCAACGCCAGGCACCTCTGCTCTGAGGCTCTAAGCAGAAGTAGTCCTTTGGCCCTTGGCTGGGTTTCCCCCAGAGAACATGCTAATGTGGTTTCCATCACCTACTTCTCCCCTACCTTGGCCTCCGCCCTCTGCTCCCCTCCCTTACCTACCCCAGACCCCGAGGAACCCCTCCCCCAACCCCCAAGGCTTCAACTCTCACTGGCTTCAAGCCTTTGCTCCAAGGTTGCCCTTTCCATTGAAGCTTTCTTTCTCTCCTCTCTCTCTCTCTCTCTCTCTCTCTCTCTCTCTCTCTCTCTCTCTCTCTCTCATTAGGACCCAACTCAAAGTTTGCTTTAAATAAATTGGGGGGTGGGAGGGTGGGAAAGACATGACACTTGTACTGAAGAGAACCATTTTTTATATGCAGGAGTCTCTTTATTTTTTAAACAAACACTTCTCATGCCATGAATTCATAGGGAATGGGCTCCAGCAGCTCAGGCTCCTTTCCATTGGTTCTTACAAAGTGTGCTTCTCTGGGTGGAGCAGGCTGGCGCTTCAGTGGAAACCAAGTTCCGTTCTCTTTGGCTTCCTTCTTTTTTTTTTTTTCCCTTTATTTTATTTTATTTTTTTTTAAAGTTGTAGATTTACAATTTTTTGTGCTTTGGTTTCAATTATATAATGATCAGATACCCATCCCTCCACCAGTGCCCATTTTCCACCACCATGGATAATATCCCCCCACCCCCATCCCCCCATCCCCCCCTGCCTCTGTGGCAGGGCAATCCCCTGTGTTCTCTCTCTCCTCTTGGGTGTTGTGGTCTGCAAAAGAGGCATTGAGTGGCAAACATGTTCAGTCCATAGTCTACTTTCGACATGCATCTCCCCTTCTGGGAGGGTCCTCCAAGCACCCTTTATTTGGTGTTCCCTTCTCTGTCTGAGCTGCCCTTTCCTCTAGAATGCCCGACTGGCCACTAAGCTATGGAGTAATCCTCCTGGTGCTGATCTCAGCTATTCTTGGGTATTAATCTCATACTTTGTTACTTTATATCCCCCAGATGAATGCAATCTTTCTATGTCTATCCCTCTCTGACTCATTTCGCTTAGCATGATACTTTCCATATTGTACCACTTGTATGTAAAGTTCATGACTTCATCTTTTCTAACAGCTACATAGTACTCCATTGTGTAGATGTACCAAAGTTTCTTTAACCAGTCATCTGTTCTTGAGCATTCAGGTTTCTTCCAGTTTCTGGCTATTGTAAAGAGTGCTGCAATGAACAAACAAGTGCAGATGTCACTTCGACTATACATTTTTGGCTTCCTTCTTTTTTTGATCATTTTCCTTCACCCGTTTCAGGAAGCTGTCTCGACTTTCCGATTGCTTAATATGCTCAATGCAGACATTAATTCTCTTGGCAGGAACCTTGCGCTTGACTAATTTGTTAACAACGAGGCCAACAGCATGCTGGGTAACACTGTAGACTCTTATAGTTTTGCCATAATAACATTTGTGGGGCATTCCTTTTTGGACAGTGCCCATTCCCTTAATGTCTACGATATCACCTTTCTTGTATATATGCATGTATATGGCCAAAGGAACAACTCCATGTTTTCTGAAAGGTCCGGAGAACATATAGTGGGTGCCCCTCTGCTTTCCTTTTTTGTTGGTCATTTTTGTGATTTACTGGACGCTGGCGGTCCCAGCCGAAAAGCTCCAGTGAGGCTTTCTGCCCTCTTCACCTTATTTCAATACCCCTCTCCCTCTGGCAGCCCTGATCTTCTCACCCCACTTGATTCTGCAGCCCTGGCCAAGTTCTAACAAATCTGCTGAAGAACCCACTCAACTCTCCTGAGCTCCATCTTCCTGCCTGTCCACCCCAGGGCGGTAGGGGGCGCCCTTCGCCTCGCTCCTGCACTCCCCAGCACCCACCCGGAGGGCCTGGGTTGGAGGAACCCGCACTTGGGCTAAACTCCGTATCTGGGCACCTGGGGGTGCTGTCACTCGGGAACAGCAAGGGGGCGAGGAATCGTTTTTATTCCAGAGCATCACTGCTGACCTGTAGGACTCTCCTCACCTCCCCGAGGGCCCAGCCCACGGGTGCCAAGCCATGCACATTGCTCCGTTCCCCATCTCTGCCCTCTTCAAGCCAAGCGTGTTCCACCTCCACCTGCTTCCTTTGTGTAGGTCCCTTCTTCTCCCACCCCTTTCTTCTACATCATTCATCAGGATATCTTGATTGTACCTCAGACATATCTCCTCTATCTTCCCTCTTTCAGTGCTTTTTGAAACTCACACCCCACCGTGTCTGAAGTTGTCCTCAGTGCCCCTCCCTCCAAGAAGGGCACTCTGACTCCTAAAACGGATTAGGGGTCTCTGCTTGGTGGTCCCGTAAACTAAGGCAGCTTAAACGATTTCAGCTCATGCCACCTTTTCACTAAGAAATTTTTATGTGACCCTGTATATATAAAATAGCTAGACAAATCAAACATTGATTGATAATAAGTCACACTTTCAAAGCAAAATTTAGTGAGTTACTTGACCCTGCCTGGAGTCACAGCTCATCATTGAAGAAGCTAAGTCACTGACCCTGGCCCTCCCTGCATCCTGGCCCTTACCGGGCACAAATCAGCACCTGCCCAGTCCCCAGCAGGTGCTTAAGAAGTATTTGTCGAATGAAAAAAAATTAATGAACTAATGAATTTGTCCAACTGCCTATTTAATTGTCTACCAAACTCCAATGTGTGACTTAAAAACATGTTTGATGTTTTTTTTTTGTTAATACTGAATGCCCTGAACAAACACAAAGACCTCTTAGTACTTGTCTTGCAAACCGCAATACACAAAAATAGAGGGAGGTTAGGAGAAGGGTTGTGGGGTGTTGGGGGATGGTTGGAGGGAAATGGGGGACATGGGTGGTGAGAAATGTACACTAATGGAGGGATTAGTATTGGATTGTTGTATGACCGAAACCCAATCATGAACAGCATTGTAATGGTATACCTCAGAGATAGTCAATAAAACATTAAAAAAAAATAGTAATGTGGAGTTCATGCCTGCTTCAAACCAATGGCTGAATAAATAGCAATACTCCTACATTTAAAAATATTAAAAAAATATTTTTCTTGTTGAGTATAAATATTACTGGGCCCGCTCGAGCAAATCGATGAACAACGGGAGGACCGTGACGTGACCGTGAGTATATACTGGGGTAGGGTACTATGGGAGGAAGATGGCAGTGAGTATGGCCGAGAGATTCTGGTTTTTCAGGAGGTAGGCTGGATCTGTTCACTTTTGATCCCTCTCAACACTGAGCACAGGGCTTTGCACTGAGGAAGGTTCCTTCCATGAATAAAATATGCAGGAATAAAATCATCCCACTTACAATTGCACCAAAAATAATCAAATTCTTGGAAATAAATGTAACCACAGAGAAGAAACATTTACTGAAAACCATAAGACATGGAGGAAAAATATTAAAGACCTTCTAAAATAGAAGGACCCGCACTTATATATGGGAAAAATTAATATTATTTCAGTATTCATACTACCTGAGACGATTTGTAGATTCAGGGCAATCCCTATCAACATTCCAATGACATTTCCCACAAAAAAATTAGAAAAAAAATCCTAAAATTTGTGTGGAATCATAAAATATAACAGTACCCTCAGTAATCCTGAAAAAGAAGAATAAAACTGAAGATATCAAACTTCCTGATATTAAACTATATTGCAGTGCTATAGTAATTAAAGAAGGGTAGTATTAGCGTATTAAGACACATAGATCAATGAAACAGGAGAACCTAGGAAAAGACCCTATGGAATATATAGCCACGGTGGCAAACAAGCCAAAAATATAAATTGGGGAAGAGCTGGCTGGTATCTTTAATATATGATATGAAAACTGGATAGCCATGAGTGAATGAAATGATCCCATCCCATGTAAAGGTAAAGGTAAAGGCCCTCCCGTTGATCGTCGATTTGCTCGAGCGGGCCCAGTAACGTCTCCATTGGAGACTTTGTTGTTACTGTGTCTGGCATATCGAATACTCTCGGTAGCTTGCCGGGCTCTCCGATGTATAACACTTAATTTGAAATGGATTAAAGTCGTGAGCATAGGACCTAAAACCAAACCTCTTAAAAAACCAGAGTGTGGTAAACATCACAGCATGCTGTTTTAGAAACTGGAAGTAAAAGCAAAAGCAACAATAAAAACTAAAGACAAACAGTCAGGTAGGATAATCCTTATCTGTTCAGAGGGCAGATGAGCATGATGATTGGCGTTTGCATGATTCGTGATTAATGTCTTTGCGGTCTTTGCGTGATTAGGGCTTGCAACACTCTAATTGGTCCAGCCTCTTTGGAAAACAGCATGGAGGCTCATCAAAGTAGGTTATAGGACCCAGAAATTAAAATAGTTAAAGATAAGTCACAGGCTGGAATGATACTACAGCGGGTAGGGCATTTTCCTTGCACACGACCAACCCAGGTTCTATCCCATATGGCCCCCCAATCATGACCAGGAGTAACCCTTGAGCATCTCCGGGTGTGCGTCCCAAAATCCAACGAAGCAAAAGGAAGATCAATTAATTATCTTTTATTGTGATTTCTTAAACATTTTTGGTATTTTTCTCTGAAGAAAATAAAAACATGAAATCATATTTAAAAATACATCATAGGACCCAGCATTACTTACAATGATCAAGTTATGAAAATAAATTATGTGTCTGTCAAAAGATGAATGGAAGAAATTGTGATATATGTATGCATATATCACACTGGGTCCTGTGATCATAAAAGAACAAAAATCTTGCTCTTTTTGAACATGTGGATAAACATTGTGGTTGTCTATACTAAGTGAAATAAACCAGACAAACATTGTATGGGTTCTTTTGTTGTTTGTAAAGTGGTATGAAAAACAACAAAAGCCAAGCCCAGAGATCCAGAGAACAGTGTGATGGCTGCCAGAGGTATAAACTGCGTGGGAGGGGCAGAGGAGGAAGAGTCCAAAGGCAAAAAGGGAAGAAGCAGCTTTATCTTATCCTACAGAGTTTTGCTCCTTTCACTGATCACATAGCCCTGAATACACAATAGATCTTCCCAATGACTCATGAATACAGAAAGAATACAATATGAAGCTATATGACAGAGTTAAAATGCCCTTAGTATTTTTATAGTTTAACACAGCTAAAGTTTATGGCCTTGATGTACAACTACTGCAATTCACCATTTCCAAAGTGCCCAAGACCCTCCACTACTGTTCTTATGGGACTTCATCAGTTTACTTTATAATAGTGCACCCTACACTGCATGGAAAGTTAAGTTTTGTAGTTGAAGTCCAAGGGTTTGTCATCTTTTGATTCTGTTGATTCCGTTTTGATTAATTTCTCTATATGCCACAGATGAGTTTTTATCCTTTTCCTTCTTATTTGTTTCACTTAACATGTTGCGCTTTAATTCCAACAAGATTTCATCTTTTCTTATAGCTGTGTACCATTCCATTGTGTGTGTGTATAGGTATCCGGCTCCAGGCACATCTCTTTGATTCCACTGTTCTTCCTGCATTAACATATGCCTCAGAGACCTGGGCCCTACGCAAACAGGATGAGAACGCTATTCAGGTCTCCCAAAGAAGAATAGAAGGAGCTATGCTTGGAATATCACGTTTCACTCAAATGAGAGAAAGAATCCGGAGTTCTGACATCCGTGGACAATCAAGAATCAGGGACGCTGTCTCATTTGCCAAGGTGTCGAAAATCAGATGGGCTGGTCACATAATGAGATTTAAAGATGACCACTGAACTAGAGCTGTTACCGACTGGATTCCATGGGATGTCAAAAGACCGCGTGGCCGCCCACCTACCAGATGGTCAGACTTCTTCGTCAAGATCATGAACGATTGGTTTGAGGCTCTTCATGTTCCCAGAGCGAACGGTGCCATTGGGCTACACTAGGACGCGACAGGGACAAATGGAGACGTTACTGGCGCCCACTTGAGCAAATCGACGACTAACGGGAAGTTAAGTGATTAAGTGAAGTGATATATATATATATGTACATATGTATATATATTATATCTTCTCTATCCAGCCAACTGTCTGTCATTGGGCATTTGGGTTGTTTCCATATCTTGGCTATTGTACTTAGTGCTGCAATAAACCTAGATGTGTGTACATATTTTGGAGTTAATGTTTTTATGTTCTTGGGTAGAACATAAAAACATGTTTTTGGGTATCTACCCAGAAAAAGATTTAGATGAAAGCTCTGTCCTTACTTTTTGGGAGAATTTTTCATAACATTTTCCACAGAGGTTGAATCAGACATTTCCACCATGTTTGAGAGTTTCTTTTCTCAAACATGGTTGAGAGTTTCTTTTCACCCAGCTACTGCCACTACTGGTGTTTTTAATATATAATAAACTATATTTAATTTATTATAACTGTCACTGGGCTGGAGCGATAGCACAGCGATAGGGCGTTTGCCTTGCATGCAGCCAACATGGCCGACCCGAGTTTGATTCCTCCGCCCCTCTCGGAGAGCCCAGCAAGCTACCGAGAGTATCTTGCCCACATGGCAGAGCCTGGCAAGCCACCCGTGATGTATTCGATATGCCAAACACAGTAACAACAAAATCTCCAATGGAGACGTTACTGGGCCCGCTCGAGCAAATCGATGAACAATGGGAGGGCCTTTACTTTTTACTTTACTATAACTGTCACTGTCACTGTCCTCCCGTTGTTCATCGATTTGCTCGAGTGAACCCAGTAACGTCTCCATCGTGAGACTTGTTGTTACTGTGTTTGGCATATTGAATTTAATATATAATAAATCTCACTGTTTTGAATTGAATTCCCCCCTATTTTTTTTTTCCTTTGTGGTGCTTGGGATTGAACCCTTATATTAGGCAAACACTCAATTGCTGAGCTACACCTCCAGCCTACAATATATTTTAGCCCGTTGTTTTTTCTTTTTTCTTTGTTTTGGACATGCTTCTTGGTGCCCAGTGTTTACTTATGGCTTGCTCTCAGGAATCACTCCTGGCGGGGCTCAGGGGACCATTTGGGATGCTGTGATTGAATCTGGGTCAGCAGCATGCAAGGCAAGAGCCCTACCTGGTCTCTCTGGACCCTCCATTGATCTCTCTATATCAAAAAAAGTTATGTTTTCCTTTAATCTCTGTTGGATAACATTGGGTTGTCCTTGCTACTCCCACAGGGAGCTCAGGTTTATTAAGTTACTCCCACAACAGTGCCCCTGAGGCACACCCAATTCCATCAAGTCATGATAATCCTATATTGCTTTTCTCTTTATATAATTTGCATGGTTTATTTAGTAATATCTTTTTTGTATAGACACAGGAAGACACTTAATGCTGTGCTTTTGTAACATGGGAGTTAACTGACTCCAAAATAATATATACTCCTGGGCATCCATCATATTTACCTGACTTAAGTCTCAGTTGCCCTTACTTCCTAACACCCCCAAAAGGAGGGTCCCAACAAAGGGACTGGATGAACCCAGAGCAAGCCACAAGCTACCCTCACATCGAAAGGGGACAGGCCTAGAACCATAAGTATAATAAGTCAAGAGCATAGTCATGGAACAAACTCTGTCATGACCCCAAAAGAAGTAACTGAATAAGGATCCTGCTGGGCTTAGGAAAGACTAACCTGGCCTGAGGACTGTGATTTGGAATATATAGCGAGATGTCCCCAGGGCTGGAGCAATAACACAGCGGGTAGGGCATTTGCCTTGCACATGGCCGACCCAGGTTCGATTCCTTCGTCTGTCTTGGAGAGGCCTGCAAGCTACCGAGAGTATCCTGCCCGCACGGCAGAGCCTGGCAAGCTACCATGGCATATTCATTATGCCAAAACCAGTAAGAACAAGTCTCACAATGGAGACATTACTGGTGCCCACTCGGACAAATTGATGAACAATGGGAAGACAGTGCTACAGTGTCCTCAGGAAGAGCCCAGCCTTTAAGATTAATATATCTCTTACTGTGTTCATACAATTTGACTAGAAATATTCACTTGATCACTTGACTTCCCATTAATCGTTGATTTGCTCGAGCGGGCACCAGTAATGTCTCCATTTGACCCTGTCGCGTGCTAGTGTAGCCCAATGGCATCTGTTCATTCTAGGAACACGAAGAGCCTCAAACCAATCATTCAGGATCTTGATGAAGTCTGACTGTGGGAAGCCAAGAGCCCTCTCATAGACCCTGGCCGTGGTTCCCATGTTAGGAACTGCTCGGGAGAGACATTGGTGACAGACTCCCAGGACTTCCTGATCTCAGCGGATGCCTGATCTATAGCCACACATCAGGCTGACAGTTATCTTATCTGGCCTTAGCTATAGTAACCTCCAGGATGCGGATATGCAAATGTAACGCTCAGGATGCATCTACTGCCCTGAGACCCTTTGATATACAAATGTAAAGCTCAGGATGCACCTACTGCCACAAGACCCTTTTGATGTACAAATGTTCACCTTGAATGTTAGCTCTTGTTGCTGACTTTACCATGTATGGTTATATTGCCTCTGCTCCTGACTGGGCTGCCCCGGACCCTATATAAACAGCCTGTAGCCCCCAATAAAGTGCTGTCCCTTTTTCTCTCTGTTTCTAAACTATACTCTGTCTCTTGTGTCTTGTGTTCGTTCGGTCGGTCCTTCCCTGCACCTATGGATCCTAGGGCCACCTCCGCGGGCCGGAGAGTGGTTTTGCGGGCCCTCCGCATCTGACCATCTGATAGGTGGGCAGCCACGTCCCGTGGAATCCAGTCGGTAGTGGCTCTAGTCCAGCGGTTGAATCCAAATCTCATTACGTGTCCAGCCCACCTGATTTTTGATGCCTTGGCAAATGAGGTACATGAAGGTACTGGCAGAGGGACAAAGCCACGCGGGTTCCGGGGCCGAGACCTCCAAGCCTACTCGAATTGGAGTCGAGCATCTTCCACCCAGATCCTCCAAATTCCAGTAGGCGGGGGTCACACCCACCACCTGGCCCCCTGGCGCCGTGTAATCTCATCAGCGGCCAAGACTCAGAGACTATAAAATCCAGATCCCGGAACCGCGCGGCCGCATTTGCGACCGCGCGACATCTTATCAGAACTTTTCTTTATGACATCTTATTATCTCATTCCTACTTTGGACAAACTTGCAGGCTATCGAATGTAGCCTGCCCACAGGGTAGAGTCTGGCAAACTCCCCGTGGCGTACCAAATATGCCAAATACCAGTAACAATGATGGGTCTCATTCTCCTAAAGAGCCGTGAATATAATCTCAGGGCTAGGATGAAAGAGACGTTACTGGGGCCTGCTCGAGGCAATCGACGATTAACAGGATGATGAAATG